GGGGTGGCCATACACACCGAAACTGCATTTCCAGCCTCCTCCACCTCTCCCTTCTTCTTGCTTTCCTCTGAAGCTTTACTGGTTTTCTGGAAGTTCTCTATATATGCCAAAAGCCCTTCTCTCAACATCTCTGCACATGCTCATCTCTGCCTGGAATGTTCTTCTCCTCTCCCCACCCTCCATCTAATAGTCAACTTCTTCCCAGATCAGTCATCACCTCCTCAGGGAGGCAAACCTTTTATTCTGCCCCATCCAGGTTAAATCAGCAACATTTTTTCTACAATTTTACAGTCCTTTGGATTTCCTTCCTAGTATTCATCATGATTTCTGATTATTCTTCTATTTCTGGGACTCTCCGATTAAGGGCAAGCACCAAGCCTATGTTGTCCATCTTTAGTATTCCAATCCTTAGCACTCAGTTTTTGTGGATGGATGAATGATAGGTAGAAAAATCAATAAACTCACAATCTCTGATTGAACTCATGATGGAAGAGATTTTATCGACTAATAATCCGATAGAGGAGGCAAATGTGGAAGGCCTATTAAGTTATGAGTAGATGATGAATTTGGAGGCATGAAAATCCTAAAGAACTATAAAGATTCATATTCAAACTCCACAGCCATAACTCCAAAGAACAACAAGTATTATGCTGGTTAGGACTCAGTGAGAGGGCTGCAAATATCCTACTTGTCCAGCTGTACCTGATCCTTTTTATTAAGTCCATCCTGTATGCCCCTAAACTCCCACCAAACATACACACACACACACACACACACACACATGCAAACAGGGAAATGTGTAAAAAATTGCAAGCTCTGGCACTTTTTCTTAAAAAATTTATCCAGACTACTCCCACTTACATAATCCCATTGCTTTTCTTTTTTTTTTTTTGACTGTTGCACACAGGATCTTTAGTTGTGGGCATATGGAATCTAGTTCCCTGACTAGGGATGAAACCGGGGCCCCATGCATTGGGAGCATGGAGTCTTAGATGCTAGGCCACCAGGGAAGTCTCTAATCCCACTTCTTTTTGCTCTCAACCCTGCTGGTTCTTTTAACCTGAAACCTCATTTATTTCTGCCCACCCTTTCCTGTTTTCAACCTCATTCCACAGATTGCCAAACTTCTTTCCACATGCTTGTACCTCAACAGCATTCTAAATCCTCTCCTCTCTCCACCCATTGCAAGGTCACTCATAACTGGTTTCTCCATTTCCAGTCTCCTCCTCCTTGAAGAACAGCAATGAAACAACCACCATCATCACAGTGGCCAATATGTACAGAATGCAGTAGGTCAGACACGGTCTTGCCTGGAGAATACCCATGGACAGAAGTGCCTGGCAGGCTACAGTCCATGGGGTCGCATAGAGCTGGCCACAACTGACAGACTAAACACAGGGCAGATGCTGCTCTACATACTTCAGTCATGGACACATTAACTCCCTGAATCCCATATCATTTCACTCCCACTTGTGGATGGAACAACAGTAGGACAGAGATTGAATGTCACGCTCAGGGTCACAGCATGTAAGTGACAGAACTGGGATTTGAACTCAGGCTGGGTCTTTTAACCATTGCCTCTATCTAGCACAGCCAGCCTGACAGGTCTTTCTAGAATTCCACTTCTGTCCTTTCACTCTCCTGGAGACATCAACATGGGCTTGAATGTTTGCAAATGGGCAATAAGAAGCCAAATTCTTGATCCTAGCTTTTGAGATCTACCACCAACTGGCCTTACCTTGACTGGCCTTGGCTGGCCAACCTGGCCTGTCATTGTAATAAAGGATTCATGATAAGGAAAGAATTGACTCTTCCCAAACTTCCCTGGTGGCACAGTGGATAAGAACCCGCCTGCCAGTGCAGGGGACACGGGTTCGATCCATGGTCCTGGAAGATTCTACATGCCAAGGAGCAACCAAGCCCATGCGTCACAGCTGCTGAGGCTGCTCTCTAAAGTCTACAAGCTCCGACTATAATACTGAGGCCACGTGCTGCAGCTACTGAAGCCCAGGCTCCTAGAGCCCATGCTCTGCCGCAAGAGAGCCCACCACAGCGAGAAGCCTGTGCAGCGAAATGAAGGGTATCCCCAGCTTGTTGCAACTAGAGAAAAGCCCGTGCACAGCAACCAAGACCCAGTGTAGCCAAAAATGAATTAATTAAAAAAAAGAGCATTGGCCCTTCTCTAAGCCAGCCCCCCTCCATGTTTAATCTTATGTACTTTCCAAGCTTTTTCTATACTTACAATATCCTACTTCCTTTCCACCTACACTCAAGACTCAATTGAAGTTCTAACTACCCTGTGAATAAAAACACTGGCTTATTTGGATTGCCGCTTCCTCTCAATTCCCGCTGGAGTTTAAGTAAGAGAAAGCAATGTGGCTGACCAGTCAGTAATTCTTGAAAGTCCACTTGATGTTAAACCTGGCCAATCCTAGTTGAACAAGATAGATTTATTGCTCTTTGAAATGAAAGAGAATGTACATCATCAAGACGTATTAGAGGGAATTCCCTGGTGGTCCAGTGGTTAAGAATCCATCTTCCTGCAGAGGACCTGGGTTCCATTCCTGGTCAGGGAACTAAGATCCCATGTGTCACATGACAACTAGAGAAAGCTCCCGAGCTGCAACGAAGACCCAGAACAATCAAGAAATTAAAAAAAAAAAAAAAATAAGAGAGTTTTAGAAAGAACTTATTCTAAGATTCGGGCTTCTATTAGGTGGTTTTGAGGAAGTTCCAGGGAAGTGGGGCTTTGTTGTGGATTGGATGCTATCAATTAAGTGGAGGTAATTCTGTAATTGGCTATCTTTGTAAGTCTTATCTAGGAGGAAGGAAAAATAGAGGCTAACACTGTAATTGGTAAAGAAGTAAAGACAGTCAGTGCTCTTAACCAGGAGAGGGGGATCATTGCTATTTTTTGGTTTGTATCATGAGCTTGCTTTTGCCTCTTCACTGACAAGATATAAAGCAGCCTGTGTCTGCCTGGATCCATCACAGTCACAGAAGGATCTTGGCTGATACCAGCATGCTGTGAAATAATTGATCTTCAGCAGGAGAACACCATCGCTTTGAAGTGAGCGCCAGGCCAACTCCTAGACACCAAGGCCTCACTGATAGAATGTCAGATGTTGGGGGTTCCATGTGTCTAAAACAAAACTAAACAGAAAACCACTACAAAAGAAATTAGAGCCAAACAAATCTGGATGAAACAGAAGCCTTCACCAGCTCTCCACAAAGGCATCCCCAGTCAACAACCACATTAACATTTCATGCAGTAACTTGTGATGACTTCTGTTCCGTGTTGACTTAGAGGGGGGCTGCAACTACGTTTGCAGAGTCCTCTTCCCTGGATGGCTCCAGGTTAGAGTGGGCACGAGGGAAACTTAACATGAGATTTGAAAAGGAGAGTAAAGCCACAGCTGTCTCCACGCTCTGGAAGTTGGTAAGAGCATCGGGCACCGTGGCCGTCCATACACAGCGTCACTGATTGGCTCATTCAGCCTTCCCGGGCGGGACAGCACCCTGGCCCACAGCCCCTCCCGTACCTGCTGGAAATCCTCTTCCAGCTTCTCCGAATCTCCTGGACCAGGGGTGCGGGGGTGCAGGTCACTCAAATCATGGAGCTTGGGGACAGCAGAGACAGATATGACTTTCGATGTCTTGTGAGTTCCAGCTCGTCCTTGCGTTTCCAGTTTCACATTCAACTTTCCTTCACAGTTGCTGCCTGCTTGAATTCAGGCCCAACACCGAATGCAGAGGCCACAACCTCAAGGAGACTTTGCCACCAGTGCCCATAGTTGTCTGGTCATTGTAATCCCTTATACTACATGGCCCTTAAAAGTTCTGAAAAATCCCTGACTGATATGCACTCCAGATTTCCAGCTAAGAAGAGATCCCTCATCCTTGGCATTCTATCCCTAAGATGTAAGGACCACATGACAAAGAGAGATGGATGGGATTCCTCCAGTGCCAGGTATGGCCCAGGGACAGACTTGTATCTGACTCCCTCGTCCTGATTGGTGTGGTTGAGTGCCCGTAGTGAGAGCAGTACTGGGGCAGGAAGATCTAGGGAGAGTGGTTAAGTAGCCATGACGATATAGAATAAGCAGCCACAGGTGGTGTCACCCGGCCTGAGGCCAGACTCAGCTTCTAAAGGGAACGAAGTCATAGCAGAGATGATGTAACAGGAACCAAATCTGAGCAGTGAGGCAAAGATAGAAAATGACATAAAGAGTAAGGAGAGTGTCAAGAAACTAGGGAATGTGATTCTGCAGGTGAGGAGTCAGACCAGCGTGAAAGAATCAAAGGTGTAAGTATGGATGCCCAGGTGAGAACTGGTAGATATGAAGGCTTTATGGAGCTGTGCCCAGCTGGACAGTCCTGCCCCTGCCAGGGGTTAGAGGCACTGAGCTATATGTCAAGTACTATGTTTACTACTTTAAACAGTAGCTCACTGAATCCTCACAGCTACCGCAAAAGACAGACTTCAGCATGCCAACCTAATAAATGACGAACTGACGCAGGTGACATTACGTGACTTGCCCAAGATCACTCAAAATAAGTAGAAAGACAGGAATTTAGATCTTTTTGATCTGACTACCATTACACCTCTTGAGATCCAAACTTTCTAGGCTTCAAAACAGCAAGAAAAAACCTTCTGAGCAACCTGATAAATATTTGTCAAATCCAACAGTCCAGCTTAACCTACTATATGCTGGATGGTTGTTCCTCAGAAGTTGATACATTGTTCTCAGATTAAGCTGCAAGGATGGAAGGAGTGAGTGAAAGGTGGGGGGTGGGGAGCCTGACTTATGGAAAGCCCCAAGAAAGCCTAAACAAGAGAGAAAGTACCAGAAATTTGCTGGCTCAGGGAATGATGCAAAGACACAGAGCTGGGGACGCAGGTTGGGGGACAGAGGTGGCATCCTGCCTTGGGGCTAAAGTCCTTGGGGTCGAAGTTCTCTCTGATGAGGGAGGGAAGAGTGTCTGTTGGGGTCTGTAGGATGGGACTGTCCCCCACGTGTCCTGCACCAACCTTGGGCTTTCAGGCCTCAGGAGGTATGGAAAAGACCGAGAAGTTCCAGAAGCCTTCAGGGGAGGAAGAGGAGGTCACTGAAAGTCTGGCTGGGGAGCCTCCCAAGAAGGCTGCCTCTATGGCCAGGAGGCTGAGTAACCCAAACAAACCAGTGTCAAGACGGACTCCCCCCAGATCTCAGGAGTATCAGTGCAAGCCAGACCCCAAGAGCAGCCATGTGAGCGGGGAGGACCGCAGAGTCCCAGGAAAGCAGAGAGAACTCCGCACAACTTACACTGTTACAGACCTGAGCACCCAGTGTCCCCCAGATGCCCAGGAATGAGAAGGTGCTACCACACACACCCAAGAGCCTGCAGAAACTCAGGAGGCCTCCAGTGTCCCAGGGCTCAGTCACTACACCTCTATGGTAACATCTGGGACAGGAGGAGACTGGTGAAAGCCGGCGACAAAGGATAAAAGAGTGAGTCACCCCCAAAAAGAGAATGTTCCTGAAAAGACCACTTCAGGGACTGGATTGGATTCTTTTTTTTTTTTCCTCTGCTATGCAGTGGAAGTCAGGTGTGGGGCTTGAAAGGACAGCTGTGTAAGTTCTAGAGAAGAATGAAGTAGTGGGTTCTTGGCATATCTCAATTGAGTGTGAATAAATAGGTGATTCCAATTCAGATGCTATCAAAATATATCTTAGAGATTTCTGGAGGTTCCAAACAGAGTTTTGTGCTTGAATGTAGAACAGGAGAACCAGACGGGTCACTAGAAATTGTCAAGGCCCTGGTATTTTCCTCTGCTTGTGCCTTATCTAATGGTGCCTATCCCCTCTCTCTCCTGCCCTAGGAACAGCAAACTGCAGGCACTGCCATTGAAAAGATGGCACTGGCTTTGCTATATGCATTCTTTGGGAATGATGATCTATTAAAAGGCTGCCCCCAGCCACTGGTCCCAACACAGGTAGCTCAAAATGGCTGCAGGCAGGAATCAGAGCCATAGGACATGTGTTCCGTGGGTCAGAAGCCAACCCTGGTTTTATTAAAGTATGTACAGGCGACTGGGAAGGAAAAAGACCACTCTGTGATATGGCTAGTGCCACAGTCAGGCTTGCTGTCTGGGGCTGGCCTGCCAGTGGCTCTTTGGAAGTTGGTCTGGTTGGAGCCTTGGAAGAGACCTGATGAATCCGGTCTTGACTTTCTCTCGACCAGAGCTGACCATGGCATCTGCAGCACTAAAAGGCGGGCAGGGAAGGCCACTGGGTTGGTTGAATGGGGTGAATTTCCCTGCCAGTTACATCGTCTCTTTGGAAGAAACTGAGTTCTTGTAAGCAGCGTGAGAATCTTCCCAGGACCCCAGCAGTCAGGGAAGCAGTGGCCTACCAGAAAGTAAGCTCGACTTGCCCTCCACTGGTTTTGAAATCCGAAGCCCGGGCATAGCCAAATTCACGGGCGGAATCCCACTTTGGGTCCACACCGCCCCGGCTGACAGTACACGGAAGGCTGCACAGAAACGCTCCTCCAGGGGCCTGCGGCTCACTTCATGTTTCTCTCGATCCAGTCTTTAAAAGGCAGCACTTTGGTGAAGGCCGTGGAGAGGCTGTGGCTGCACGTCTTGTCATAGCTCCAGCTGACCAGCCCCACCAGGTGCCAGCGGGGCTCCGGGGACGCCCGGCCCGGGAAGGACATGGCCGCGATGCCGCCCGTCTCAGCCGTGCAGATGTCGGAAGGGGCCGTGGGGTCGCGGCCGGCACAGAACATGTTGTCCGTGACGCTCACCGGGATGCCCTGCTGCTCGTGCTGCTCCTCACAAAGCAGCGGGTCCGCCACCCTCACCACCCCCGAGCGCAGCGCATCGTCCTTGTAGCCGGGGCTCCTGGTGTCCGCCAGGACGTTCCAGCCGGCCACAGTGATGCGGGACTCCTGGAAGGAGGTGCTGAGATCCCGAGGGGCCGCCAGGCAGATGGGCTGGACGCGGGTGCTGATGCGAGCCTTGTCCAGGAGCTTCAGGATGGCAATGTCCGTATCCAGCAGGATGGGGTCATAGTTCGGATGGAGGATGATTGCAGAAATCTACGAAGGTAAAGAATGGACAGCAGTGGTGAGCAGCCGACTCCACGGTGATGGCAACAGGCAAGCCCCGGGGCTCAATTATCGGGAGAAAATGTCAGAGCCAGCTGCAATTATTCGGACACACTTCGCTCAATGGATCATGGAAAGCAATTGCTCTGTTTCCAGGGTTGCAAACTGAAATGCCAACCAGGGCTGGCAGGTGGTTTTTAAATAAGTGGAGTGGACAAGTGAGGCTTTGCAGAACGGGAGTGTACAACCTATGCAGAGTGGGCAGCTGTCACTTTGCTTAACTGACTACTGCCATGCAGAGATGCTCATTTTGCCAAAGGATAGACTCCAGACCTCTGGCTGAAACCTCCTGGTTTTTAAATGTTGGCAAATAACTGATTAAAAAAAATATATTAGCACTATCAAAACACAAACCTCAACAGGCTACCAGCTGGCAACCTCTAGTCCACTGTAAACATTTCATTTACCCTCAAGCCAGTAAGATAGAGCTACACCTAGGGTGGTCCACAAGACTTTTCCACCAAGCCTCCCCTGATCGTCCCCATTCTTGCTCATCACCCTCTTTGATGGAGCCCCCTGGAGCTTACATCTGTGATACGCTGTAACATTTTTATAGACTTGTTCTATATCTGAACTCATTTACCCAGGGATTCTATTGTGCTGGATTAGTCACAATATACTAGTCTGTCTCTTCACCTAGCCTGTGGACTCTTGAGGGCAAAAGTCATGCCTTGTTCAGTTCTGTGTGTATTCCCAGTGAATGGCATGCTGTGGGAACTCAACAATAGATGGATGGATGGACAGGTGGATGAGCTAGATTGCATGAGAGGGTGGATGGTACAGATGGAGGGAGGGAGGGGGGGGAAAGAAAATAATATTAGAATTTATTAGGAGTCTCTATGTCCTCACAGTCTACCTAGCACCATGTCCTAAACATAATAGGTGGCTGGTTATGTTTTGATGACCCCAATGATAGAAGATATTTTTTATTATCTTATATAAAAATTTTTTGGGGGGGGAAGACTCCATAGTCTTTCTAGATGTCCCTTTCTAGTATCTGCCAATAATGAAAGATTAGGCTTCTAGGTGGCACAGTTGGTAAAGAATCTGCTTGCCAATGCAGGAGATGCAAAAGACACGGGTTCAATCTCTGGGTCAGGAAGATTCCCTGCAGGAAGGCATGGCAATCCACTCCAGTATGCTTGCCTGGAGAATTCCATGGACAGAGGTGCCTGGTGGACTACAGTCCATGGGGTCACAAAGAGTCTGACAGTACTGAGCAACTAAGCATGCATGTGCCTAATATTTCCAGGCTCTGGACCGGATGCCAAGGTGACAGACTGACAGGATAACTGCTCTCCCGGTGCTGGGAGCTGCTGAGAAAGAAACCGGACTTCCAGGCTGCAGCCCTCTCTCACCCGCAAGCTCTGGATGCTCTTCTCATCCCGGTCGTCATCCCTGTAGAATTTCCCCAGGATGACTTTGAGGTCTGCTGTCTTGATCACGGTGACCCTCCCCAGATCGGTGACGCAGTGGGCAGCCACCACCACGGTGCGCTCGTTGACCAGGGCGCCGCTGCAGACCAGAAACCAGGCATCCTTGTGCAGACTGCTCCCGTGCACCCCGCCGGCCCTCCTGTAGATGGCAGCCTGCCACGGCCAGCGCGTGCCCTGGGTCTTCGGAGCAGAGATGTTCTCGGTTTTCCCACAGACTATGGAGAAAGCACCAGCTCAGTGAGATAAATTCAGACCTTCCCATCCAGAGGGGAATGTGTCAATCAACCAACAGAACACATATCTGGAAAGGTGGGCCCTACAGGTGTCAAGACCACAGAGCATCTAACCTGTTTTTTTTTCCCTCTTTAAATACTAATCAACCACCTTAACATTCTTGGCTATAAAGTTGAGGGTTATAATCGGGAGTCTTACCATCCCATGCACTTACTGGGTAAGTTGCCTAATTCCTTAGAGCCTCAGTCTTCCTGCCTGCAAAATGGATACAGTAATCACAACTGTCTCCTAGGTTCTTGCAGAGAGTGGATGAGATGATGTATATAAACAGACTCAAAATATCATGACTATTACTATAAAGATGACCACCTCGAACTAAGCCATACTCTTCTCCTCTGACAAAAAAGATGGGGGCAGTAGCTTAGTATGTGCAAATGCCCATTCCGGACATTTCCATGTATTATCTCAGTAATCATTTTATAACCTGTAAGTGACTGATACCTCATTACTTACTAACAGTAATTAATTAATTAGTTAAGTAATTCATTTATTACTAACAGTAATTAAACAGTAAGTAAGTAATTAATACCATTGGGTGATGAGGATGAAAACTGGGGCTCAGGTGACAAATATGACGTAACTAGAAGTTCTCTGGCAGTTTTAACCCCTCCCCACTTGGTGTTTAATGACTGTTCTCTCCCTTTTCTCCAAGTAAATATGATAAAATCATCCACAAGAAAGTAGGCCCCCTCTTCCTCAAAAATTCATCTAAGATTTAATCACCTCTCCTGGGTAATAAGTTTAAGCCAAAGGAAGGAGACGCTAACTGTGGAATTTCAGACTTCACCAAGCTGGGGAAAAGTATTAGAGGACTATTCTTTTGGACAAGGATTTTTTTCCCCAGAAGTCTTCAACAGGGTCAGGGGCTTTCCATAGGCAGCCATGGGAGATTCAAGCTGCTTTAGCCCAAGGATGAGCCTTGACTCACTAGGGATGCAGGACGGGGCACGCCCACTCCACTTCCCAGTCCTTAGACACGTCCTCCGGCTGCTGCCCAGGCGGCGGTAGAAGGGTGAGATGCACTCGTACTGGAGCTGGGTGTGGAGATGTTGGTAACCAGGCGGCAGGTCTCCGAAGGGAAGGACTGGCTTCTTCGTAGGGGCGTCCTGCAGTTTCTGCTTGCTGAAGGCTGATGAGTATAGCTGGTGTAACGGCGTCTCCCTGCATCACGGCAGAGGGGTCCGGAGAGAGAGGAGGGCAGGAGACAGTCATTACAGCCCTTTTAGTATCCATGCCAAGCTCCACGAAGATGTTCGGTTACAAAGGAAGAAAACAACAGCTATCTCATCCTCTGTGTGTGTGTGACTTGCTCTCCCTTTCTCCTCTTACCTTTCTGTCTCTCTCGCACACACACACATCTCTTCTGCCACTGAGCAGATTTTCCTGCACACTCCAACTTTCTATTTATTCCTCCATTTCCACTTCTGGCATGCCTCCAGCTACCCAGGGTTTTAACCAAAGAGCATAATATCTGACATAATAGCTGCTATCCAAAGGTACGCTATACATGCACACACACACACCAATTAATTGTGAAATTAAACAAGAAAAGAAGTTAATTTCAAGGAAAGAAATCCAGGCGACTGCTCTGCTCTAACCATTATCATAATGGAGCAATATAAGGAATTGACTCGAACTAAACTGTGTTGATATAGTAGCTTGATTTAGCAATTAACGGATGTAATTAGTCCACCCCAGAGAACAGAACCTTCTCTCAGAGCGCATTGATTGGGAGAAATAAGAAGTGTTGTGTGCAAATGTGAAAAGGCCTTTTAAATGAGCCCTGAAGTTGAAGCCCCAGAGGCCACTCTGGGGTTCTTGGGAGAGAGGTATGCACACTACACTCATTTTACATCAGTGCATAATGACTATTAACTGACACGTTAGATTTCCTTTAGGAATCAATGTTTTCATCCCTGTTTAATGCATGGAGAAAGGAAGCCCAGAGAGGTAGGTGGGGATGCTGAGGGGCACACAGGAAGCTAAGACAGGACCCCAGACAGCAGCACTGGGCAGTCACGCTTCTCACCCTGATGTCCCTACCATACCAATCTAATACCATTGTAAGAAATGTTTCATGTGTCCGTACAATGCTTTGCTCAGAGCAAATATTCCACCTCCATTGATTCCATTCGACAAATCTTTAGCTCATATTTAGGACCAGGTCTGAGGTTCAGGGGGCTTTTGTACTCAAAAACAAGCTCATGTTTAGGCCACTGAAGGTATGCAGTGCCTTTGGGGGTTCTTGGGTGAGCCTGGCTGCTGAGACCATCATATCCTTGCTCCAGCAGCAAATCTTCCAGGAAGATATTTGCCTTGCATTTAATCCTTATCAATTTCTAGAGGCAAACATTATTGTGACTACCCTTATTTTTGAAAAGAGGAAACTAAAGGCTCTGCAAGCTTAGGAATTTGCCCAAGAATAGCCAGCACTAAAGACAGATGACAGAAACAGCTCTTGAGCTGTTTCCAATCCAGTCATTCACTCATTCACTATTTTGGGGGTGTCTACGATGTGGCAGGTGCTATTCTAGGCACTAAAAGTTCAGCATGAACTAAACAGAAAATGTTCTTGCACGTGTAACTTTCACAATTGTTTTGGTGGGTTGTGAGGAGACAGAAATTGAACAAATAAACAAACAAACGTCAGTAGGAAAATAGAACAATAGGATGCCAAGGTGAAAATTGGAGATCTCTGTAAAGGTCAGAGGATATTGGGTAAAGAAGTCAGCTCAGCAGTCAGGGTGGAGGTAAGGTTGCTATCTTTTTTAAAGGATGGTCATGAAGGGTCTCTTTGCCAGGTAAAAACTGAGTAGGGAACTGAAGGAAGCCAGGCATTAAGCATCGTTGAAATCCAGTCGAACCAACTTCCCTAGCTTGCCACCAGGGGTCCCCACCTCTATCTTTCCAGGAGAAAGACTAGATGGACCCCCTGCCCACCATCCCCTAACCCCCACCCACCGAGGCTTCACATCCTTCATCAGGAGCTAGGCATTCATCTCTGGTTCCTAGCTCCACCAGCCTACCTTATCTGATTGATCACTACCAAGGACATCTTCCTAAGCCAGAACTGACTGTGTTTGGTAGGAATGCCATGTCCCTAAAAGCTGCATGACAAATACGCAGTCATTTTAGGAGGACTCAAGTATTAAAATCCAGCTCCTCAAAGGCCATCTTAGTCTGGCTTCCCACCAGCCACTGACTTTCCCACGATCCAGTGAAACCTGTACATCTTCCAACAGTTGCTACCTCTTGGCTAAAGGCAGCTAGCTAATAAGCCTCCATCTAACAAGCCCTTTTCTTTCCTGGCAAGTCAACACGGAGTGTCCCTAAGAAACCTCAGACTGTCTTTGGCCAAACACAAATAGGGAAAGGGGGTGGAGAAAGGAATGTTCATTTGCCTTTAAAGCAGAGTTCAGGTGTTTCAACCTCACCTTGACTGAACCTGCATTGGAAGAACTTTCCGCCTCACCAGGTCTGAGATCTTTGGTTCTCGGCAGGCTAGAAAAAAAAAGATAACGCTGCATAATCCTTTTCCATACTAATCGTTCACACCATGAGTTCAGATTGATACCGACCACCCTCTCTGGACACCAGGGCACATTCCCCAGGCTCTCAGAGGTGAGATGTGTCAGCCAAGCATGAACAACTCGCTTAGCAAAAGAGGATGCCGAGGGACTTCCCTGGTGGTCGAGTGGTTAAGAATCCACCTGCCAATGAAGGAGAGCCAGGTCCGATCCCTCATCCAGGAAGATCCCACATGCTGCAGGGCAACTAAGCCTGTGAGCCACAAATACTGACCCCATGCTCTAGAGCCTGTACTCTATAACAAGCAAAGCCACCCTGATGAGAAGCCCATGAGTGCAACTAAGCCCCAGCATGGCCCAAAGTAAATAAATGCATTTTTTAAAAACAGAGCATGCTGAGTTTCATCTATTAATAAAAACGCAGCCCCCTTGGAAGAACCCAAGTAGAATAAACACATCTGCAGAGCTGCTCCACCCAGGTGATATGAAAGTGTGAAAGGATTAGTTGCTCAGTTGTGTCCGACTCTTTGTGACCACATAGACTGTAGCCCACCAGGCTCTTCTGTCCATGGAATTCTCCAGGCAAGAATACTGGAGTGGGTTGCCATGCCCTCCTCCAGGGGATCTTCCCCACCCAGGGATCGAACCCATGTCTCCTGCCTTGCACGGCAGATTCTTTTCTGTCTGAGCCACCAAGAACCACCAAGGAAGCCCAGTGATATGAAGCAATAGTAGTTAATAGAATTATCTGTTCACGTAAATTGTATTAGCAAACTAGATCAATATGGAATAAAAGCCAAGGGCAAGGTTCTAAAATATAGCCCAAGATAGGAAATCACAAGGTTCTCATTTAAAACTGAACAGCAGTGTCAACCAACAATAAGTCTTGAGTAACTGATTCCTCCAGGTCCTTTCTCTGCAATTAAGGCTTCTAATGATCCTTTGAGGGCAACTCGAAGCCTGGTTTAATTTTGTTGAAGTCTCTCTTTCTTCACAAGTGAAAAGGAATCCTTCCCATCTCACTTTCCCAATCAAGCAGCCAACATTTGTCTAATTAGCAACCTAGGGAACTCTAGTTGTATTAATTTGTAAGAGAAGGGTTGACAAAAAAATCTCCAAGGACATAGGTAACACCATTTCCATACCTAATGAAATCAAGAACCATAGTCTGTGCTGGTGGGGATGAAGGTCACTCCTGGCTAAAGTCTAAAGTCTTCCTTTCACAAACTTGTTCTTTTATTCCTTTCCCCATGATTCAGGTTGTTGACAAATACTCAGAAGGCAAAGTGGAGGACTGAAGCAATTATCTGGATAATCTAGGCGAAGGATATGCTTTTCTTCCCAGGAAACAGAGAGATAGTTGTGTGTGTGTGTGTGCGTGTTGTGTGTTTGTGTGTGTGTTGCTTGCTCAGTCCTGCCGCAGAAAAGAGAGCTGTTGTTGACCTGGAGCAACAAGTGAATCAACTTGATAAGAAACGATGGGGCTTCCCTGGTGGCTTAGTGGTAAGGATCCACCTGCTAATGCAGGAGACACAGGTTTGATCCCTGATCCTGGAAGATCCACATACCATGGAGCAACCAAGCCTGTGTGCCACAACTACTAATCCTGGAAACCTGTGCTCTAGAGCCTGGAAACCTCACCGACTGAGCCTACCCACCCTAGAGCCCGTCCTCCGCAACAAGAGAAGCCCTGCAGCCAAGAGCAGCCTCCACTCTCCACAACTAGAGAAAAGCCCCTGCAGCAACGAAGACCCAGCACAGCCAAAAAAAAAAAAAAGTAGATAGATAAATAAAATTGCATATATATATATATCATATATATGTATAAGAAACTACATATGCCTACTGTCATGGAGTCAGGTCCAAACTTCCTTATGCAATGTCCCATTTGTTCTGGTCTCAAACTACCCTTTAAAATTTACCTCCCAGATTCCCCGATTGACTCATTTTTTTACTTACCATGATTCTTTCACTTCTGCCTATACCACTTTTTGTCTTCCAACTGGAATATCGTCCCAACTCCTCTCTATCTCAGTAAATCCTTCCCTGCTTCCCAGAGGGGCTCCAGTCCCCCTAGCTACAGGAGAATTGGAGCTCATATTTCTCAGAATACACACCACTCATTTGCTCTATAACTCTCCTTTGAACGTTCAAGGGTTTATTGTCTTTTAAAGATGCTTTTAAACATTTTAACATTTCAAACTTCCCTCCACACAGGCTGCCAGGGATGATGTGTCTATTGTGTCTTTTATTTCTTGCATTGATTTAATGTTGCACAGAGAGTAAATAAATGTAGCCATATAAATGCATATTAATTGTTTCAGTTCTATCCTTGGGGTTACACATAAAAAACAGCCTTGTCATTTCTCTAAACTGCTCTGATAGCTACATCTCTTCTTGATCACATCAAGACATTGTGATGAGGATAAACTGGTCCTTTGGCAGTCTAAAAAAGAAGCACATGTTTTATGGATGGTTTTCAAAATAAGAATAATGTATGGTTTCAGTAAGAACTTAAAAGAGAAAGGCAATTTTTTTTTCCAGGGCTTCAAAAACAGGTATGGGAGCTACCAAAATGTCTAGCAACTCCACTTATCTCTACAGACTTCAGAAATATTTGCCAGTTACCTTTTATACAGATTGGCTGTTTCCCTGACCACTCTCCATTCTGCTGGCAAGTTCTCATCTCATTACCACTGAGAACATAGGAGCTGTTACAAAAGAAGGTCAGGACGGTGCCGATTTTTGCATAGAGCCCATGGATAAGCCCAGGGCCTCCTGTAATTTTCTTGTACCCATTGACTGGGCCCCCAGGGTCTGAGCAGTTTCTTTCTTCGAGGACTGGAAGTGAAAAGAAAAGAAAAGAAAAGGAGAGTTATTAAGAGTCTGAAGCATTCCATTTTAGCACTGAATCTTTTCACATCTCATTGAAATAAAAATGTAGTGATATGGAGCCTGCTAACAATGGTATTCAAAGGAATTACCAAGAGAAAACGCATAACAGAAAAATGCACGCATTAGACATATCTTCTTGTTTTAACAATTTATTCTTAAATTGAGAACTGTTTCATACCATATATATATATATATAAATTTGACACCACATCAGGCTCTCATGTAATCACATTCATTTGCCTCCCAAATTTGTGAAAGCTGGACAGGCCTGGGCAAAATAAACATTTTGCCTAGATTTTATGATCAGTATGCAAGGATTATTTGTCTTCAGTATTGTAATATCATCTCCTTCATTCCCTAAAGCTGGGCAATTAAACCAAACTACTCAGTTTCCTATTTGTGTTGTACCCAGAAAGTAGAATAGATTAGAAATGAGAGTACGTTTATGAATTTTGATTTTCTATTCTATCTGCCAGAACACTGGGTGCGTTAAAAGTTGTAATTAAAAAACACTAGAGGCAATATAAATTCAGAGATACAACAAATTCCCCTAATCTCCAAATAGAACTTTTCATCTAAACATTTAACAATACTCATTATAGGAGATCTCTATTCTCTCATTCACGCTGCATAGCTACTTAGAGTAAAATTGGCATCAACAAAACTATCCTGAGCACCAAACAGGATATTAGATATATGCTGGAAATATTCGATCAGCTAGACAATATATTTTTCTCAAATGGATTATGGTACAATACTGAGTATTACTTGCCTAAGGATACAGAGTAAGTCCCCTTAGAATTCAACCTTTAATTACTGAGTTTAGATACCAATCACTCTATCAGGCTCCCTAGTCTCTTTTTAATCATTTTTCTAAGATATGGGCTCATCCCTATAAAACAGGGGCTTTCCAGGTGTCTCGATGGTAAAGAATCCGTCTGCCAATACAGGAAACACAGGTTTGATCTCTCATCCAGGAAGATCCCCCTGGAGCAGGAAATGGCCACCCACTCCAGCATTCTTGCCTGAAAAATCCCATGGACAGAGGTGCCTGGCGAGGTAGCAGAGAGTCAGACACGACTGAGCACTCTATAAAACAGTCATCACACAACACAATTATGAACTGGACATTCTTTTCTTCCCTTAAGTGTTCCAGTTACCTTTCAAACAACTTACTTGCTTGCCTCCAGGCAAGAAATGAATATCCATTCCTATAACACTTTTACAATATTTCAGAACTAAAAATTAATAAATTGTTCCTATGTGCAATTTGGCAAGGTTGTTAAAACCGGTCAAGCTCCTGGTTTGTCTACTCTAAGACTGCTCATAGCTCACATGACAGATGATCTCAATGACACTGTGTGCTTTGGACTATGCATTCTGAGCGATCTCCCTGGTGGTTGATGCCAAAGCCCCATTTTAAATGTTAAAAAGGGATCTCACTGAGTGAGTTGTTTAAAAATACCAAAATGGCATAGAGAAGGCACTGTACTTTTTGAAGCTTCAAGTGGACTCAGGAAAATCCCAGTGTTTATACTTCCAGGAATCCCTGGATGATGTGGAACAAAGAGGCAGAAAGAGCTTTCCATATTGCTTCATTGACAGGCCACCTTCTTACAGTAGAGACTCATTTAAAGCTGAATATGTAGCCCAGAAACAACAAGGGGGAGCCCACAGACTTCAGTCATCTCAAAAACATATGTCATACCTGCAAGTTTTAGAGAATGGAATTCACTGTCAACATAAAAATCAGACAATGTCTCATAAAAACCTGTGTTACTAGCTTCTGACAAAATTTAGCTTTGGAAACCCTGGGTCTGTATTCTCACACGGCAAGAATCAGCTGGTACGGGGAGGAGCTCTCCACTTAGGATCATGTTCTTGCCTTGGTCACAGTCCCCACCCACCAGCTGCCTGGTCCCCGCAGAGACTTCAATCTGTGACCAGTTAGACTATCAAAGGGCTATGATTTGTGTAATTCAAGTGTAGTTCCTCATTCATTTTAAACTTTGCTTGCTAGAGATCACGGCCAAGAAAGACTGAGTGATACTTAAGACCTGTCCTGGAATATGGAAAGAAAATGAACTAGCCTCTAGCCATGTCAGCCTCAGTTAGAATACAAGAAATCACTTCTACTGTAAGAGCCTAATCATTTGATTTTTCTCCTCTTAGAAGTAAGTACCTTCACGGTCCATTAGGCTTCCACTTCATGATCGCCTACGTGAGAGATGGGTCCTATTTCTATTACATTTCATGTGGGTTTAACTGGCAGGAACCTTGGAGAGCTCTTAAGCCCTTCCAGGTAATAAAGCCTCATGACAATCCAGGTTCTTCATGTCATTGAAAAGGGTTTAAAGGAAGATTTAAAGGGCAACAGACTCAGGATATCTAAACACGTCTGCCCAAGGTGGAGGAATTCTGCCACATTTTTATAATTCTTAAATGCATATTCCTTTATAACATGACATGTTGAAATCAAGACACATGCCTACTTTTCTTGTAGGTCTACTTCTCTTTCATTTGGTTTTAAATTATGCTCATGAAATATGACTAGGGTTGAGCAGGATGATGCTTCCAAGGGAAGGTTCAATGGAAGATGAGACCATGTGGCTGAAATTCTAGAGAAATATAGATGTTAGAAATAGATTCATAAAAGATTCAGATAATGGAGTTGTCTGACACAACTTAAAAATAAATAGACTGAAAATATTCAAGGAAATAAAATACAAAATTGAGGACTTTGGAAGAAAACTTTCACCTTAAAAAGTAACCCAAGGAGAAATCTAGAACACAAAAGTTACAGTGACATAAAGTAAAAAATTCAGTAGATGAGTTTAACAGTAAATCAGATACAACTGAAGGATACCGACGAACTGAAAGATAGCTTCAAAGAAAAGACTCAAAATGAAGCCTAAGAAACAAAAAGATGAAACACGTACCGCAAAATGTAAAGATATAGTAAGAAGGTTAATAAATACATGTAACTGGCATCCCAGAAGAAAAGAGAGAGAACAGAGAAAAACCAATAGGTAAGGAGAGAGCAGCTGAGATTTTTCTGATGAAAGACACTGACCTACAGATTTACAAGGTCCCAAGCCAGATAAGTACGAAGAAAATCACACACAGACATAGCATGTAAAGCTGTTCAAAATCAAAATGAAAGAAAGAACATTTAAGCAGCCAAAGGGAGAAAAGGACTGGAAATGCATACTCTAAAATAATTACTGGTTTGTAACATTGAGAATGTTTCTTGCTTCTTTCTACTATTTTTTTCAAGTTTTATAATCAGAAAATGTAGCCATAAAATTTTGTATTTTATAATATTGTTGTTGTCCTATAGCTATTATTTTTTAAAGTGTCAGGGAAATGGTTTGGGTATCCCCCGCTAAGCCTATAAATCTAGCACTAAGTCTTCGTGCCTTTTTTGTGTGTGCTCCCAGACTCCCTCTGCCCCCTGCAAATCTCTTTGCTGCTGCTGCTGCTAAATCACTTCAGTCGTGTCCGACTCTGTGTGATCCCATAGACGGCAGCCCACCAGGCTCCCCCGTCCCTGGGATTCTCCAGGCTAGAACACTGGAGTGGGTTGCCATTTCCTTCTCCAACAAATCTCTTTACCATCCTGCATAACCACTGTGTAATACAACGTTCCATGAACTCAGATTTAAATGTTTTGTCACTAGACTCTGGTGGAAAAATAGTGGCCTCCAGGATCAGATAGCTATAGGCTCAAATATACAGGTATTCAACAAATGTCTGTTTGCGGGTGGAAAGAATAAAGGCTAAAATGTACTCATTCTTCCACTTAATAAACTAGGGCCTGGGAAAATTAATCTTTTCAGGTCTTGTTTTCCTCCTCTATAAAGCAAGATAATAACACTTTTCTGGTTGGTCTGATTTTGAGTAGCAATTTAAACTACACATAGTCTCTATTTCCCTTGTTCGCCTTTATTTACAAAGCATCCAACTGCCTTTAAAAATCAATTCCCCAAATGCATACACCTTAAAGAAAAACCCATAAAGGAATCTAATTATTGGACCTTTTCAAATACAAAGCAATACTTGGTCTCTTGGTAATGCAATGGGTTTCCAGATCTGGGTCCAGTGTGTTGATTCAGACTCCCGGGTACCAAGCATGGTCTTTGTACATTCATCTATTTTAACCCTGTGTAATGAAGCCTTAAAATTATGTTCTTACATCAAACATCTACTGAGCATTATTCTCTCTTCCATCATTTATTTCCTGTACTTTTCAAAGCTATACCTTCTCCTCTGATGCTTTTGAAGAGAATTCTAAGACTTCCTTATCCATCCTTTTCTCTCCCAGTTTAGACCTCTACCTGTTGGGTTCATAGACCATCTGCATCTCATCAGAGCATCTCCCTAGGGTTATATTTCAAAGCTATCTCTCTTTTCTCCCTGTGGGTCCTCTGTTTAGAAACCTCTGTATCTCCCCACTGAACAGACTCATGATTCTTTCCTATTTGATGTTTCAAGAGCTTTTGATTTCATTTCTCCTCGGTGGGATGGATGTTTTCACACAAAGCCAAATGAGAATTTAAAACATCTGCATCACTGGTGTGAAGGAGCATCAAACTCCTGCTTTGCTAAGTAAAATATTCCATAATTAGTCATAAATAGCACATTGTCCTATTACTTTGGGGACTCAGCCTAGGGATATAAACACATTAAGTTCAGCATGCCTTTACATGCTACCTTGTGAGCAAAGGCAGTACTCAGGATGCACTTCTCTGCGATTCTGTTTCAGATAAACACTTTAAAAAAGACCTTCTCTCCCCTGTCTTCTTTTGTTCTTCAGGACAGCAGTATTAGGCAGTTCACTGTGACACCACTTTACCGAGGAGATGCGATAGCTTTGCATGGCTTTTGTAGTGATCACTGTTGGTGTCCCATCGAGGTCTCCTCTCATCCTTTTCCAAACTCTGCTT